TCAAACCCCGAACACTCTGGGATTCTGTCATTTTCCTCCCGTGGTTTTACTTGCCTCTCTTCCTTGTGCTCATGGCTCTTACCTACAGTGGCAGCGGTGGCCTGAGATGAGCCTTTTCTGAGGTGGCCTTTTCAGCGGGGGGAAAGGCTTCTCACGTATCTGCACCTCAAATCGACGATCTTTGTGTCTGGTGAGCGAGAGAGGCCATGCATCAGCCCCAGCAGCAGGTACCCACGCCCTGCACCCGCAGCCTGAGCGCTTGGCCGGCGTGGGGAGGTGTGTGGTCCCGTCTGGAGGGGGACAAGCACCATCCGAAGGACACCGATGCCACGTGCATAGAAAAGAAGGCTGGAAATGACTTCACGAAGTCACCCCGTCCCTGTCGCTTCCTGTTAGCTGAGCTGCAGCAAAACAACTTCAATCAAAGTGATTTAAAGTTTCGCTTGGTTAAACTCGCATCGCTCCGCTTCCGCAGCTGCAGCCTGCCGTGAGCTCTGCTGCCCGGCGCCAGCCCGAGACGGCCCTGCGATAAGCTCAGGGCAAGGGGCAGCCCGTGCCCTCGGCAGCGACCCGGCGTGTTTGTGAAGCTCAGCAGTAATTAGCAAATTAGTTAGGCGTGGAGTTTGTCTGCAGACTGGTGAAGTGTCGCGCTGATTTTTGGATGCACCACACCCTGATGTACTCGCATCCATTCGCAGGCTTCATTTTGTGAGGACAGGGCCTTCAGCCACACATCCATGCCAGCCCGAAACAGTTCCTGCAGGCGAGACCCTGCCTGCTGCTGCTGAGGCTGGGCAAGGCGAGGCATGGGCATCGCTGAGCCAGCAAGCGGGCAGGAGGAGCGGGCAGCCCCGGTGCAGGGTCCCTTGAGAGCCCTGCATCCCGCATCCCACCCTGCATCCCATCCTGCCCTGCATCCCACATCCCATCCTGCCCTGCATCCCACATCCTGCCCTGCATCCTGCATCCCATCCCACCCTGCACTCTGCCCTCCATCCCATATCCCATCCTGTATCCCGCATCCCACTCTGCATCTCACATCCCAGCCCGCATCCTGGATGCCATCCTGCATCCCACATCCTGCCCTGCATCCTATCCCACTCTGCACCCTGCCCTCCATCCCACATCCCACCCTGTATCCTGCGTCCCATCCCGCATCCCGCCTGCCAGCTGCAGCCCTGCCAGCTGCAGCCCTGCCTGCTCTCCCTGCTGCCTCTCGCCCTCACAGGGCTGTGTGCCGAGGATCCGAGGCTGGTCCTGGTCCCCCCCTTGGGACATCCCACGGGAGGCACCGCTGCAGCTCCCCGTTCAGTTCCCGGTGGGGCTGTGCATGGCCCTGCCGTGAGCAGGGTGGGATGGGCAGTGTGGGGAGCAGCGAGGCTCAGCCCTGGCACAGCCACCTTCACTTTTTCTCACCGAGATGAGCAGTCCTGGACCCACCTGATGGATCTGAGTCTCTGCGTGGCTCCCAGTGGGAGCGATGCTGGCGGAGCGGCTTGGGAGCAGAAGTGGCTGGAGCCGGGGAATGCCCCGAAACCTCCCCTCTGCCCTTTGCTCATCTCTGAAACTCGCTGGAAGCGTTTGCAAGCGCCGGGGCCAGGCCGGATCCGTTGCTTCACACGTGTGGGGGATGGGTTTGTGGCTGGGGAAAGGATCAGGGCGGTTTGCTCTGTCTGCTTCCTCCCTCTGTTTCTGTGCTTCGTTATGAGCGGTTTTACCTGCTCACGGGCTGCCCCAGGGACAGGGACCTGCGGTCCCGTGGGATCCATCCCTGCAGCGGGATGCGGGCAGCCCCTGGGACCTGGGGCTCCTGCTCGGCAGCTCCCAGAGCCCGGCGGCTTGAAC